TAAACCCATGGCTTACTCTAAACTAGAGTCACCGAAGGGTTGATCATCTGGTTTGTACAATGCATTTGAAACGACCTGTAGTATTTAAGAGATATATTCACAAATGATACACTGAGAGCATCAAACTTTTAATTTTTGACAAGAATTTGGAAGATGGTTTTTTTTTCAAAATTAGAATTTTCAAATTATCAGACACTAATCAAGGCATATGCAAAAGAATGCTAAACCATGCAAAACCATGCAAAAGAATTAGGAGTTTTTAGCCATTTTGAAAAAAAAGTTATCCAGAGAAACGGAAAAAAATCCAAATTTTGTGTATCCAGGACTACGTAATGCAGAAAAAAAAATTGCATGCAAAATTTGTTTTTTGAAAAGTGTTTGTTTGAGTAAAAAATTCGATTTGCGGTTGAAAAAAAAACAAAAAAATTTTGGGGCAATTTCAATTTTATTTTGAAAAATTTTTGTTGTCGCCATCGAAAAAATGCTAGTCATTCAATTTTCATATATGGAAATTGTACGATAAACATTTTTCCAAAAAAAAGAAACATCGTTTTTTTTTATCTCCAGACGGTTTTATTTGGTTCAAATAGCCGCAAAAACTAGTTCCATTCTTTTTTCAATGGTTTTTGAAATTGTATGAAAATTGTATGATTAGCATTTTTCCATGCATTTGATGTATGAAATTGAACGATAATTATTTTCGGTGTAAGGAATTGTAAGATAAGCCTTTTTGGTGTATGGAGGTCAACCCGGGCAGTGAACAGCAGCGTAAAAGTATAAGCGCCATAAAAACTGACGAGTTTAACCCCGTGATTATTAGTCAGGTCGCTCAAACTGTTCGATTGCATGTGTCTGGCAAAACTGAAGTTATTAGCAACTAACATTTTTATTGTCAACGTTATGATTTTTTTGCTTAAATTATTCATCGGACACTGTCAGTTAACTTAATTGTTCAGTGCTAAAGTAATTTTAATGGACGTTTTTGCACAAAGCAGTTGTTTGCACAATTTGCGCGGTTTGAAATCAGAAGAACCAGTAAAGCTAGAGAAGCGGTTTTTGTTGTGACACGACGGCAAATTTATTTAGACGACTTAGAAGACATCATTTTAGGTTCTATTTGGCGGGCTAATGACAAGTTATAAACAATGTCCGTCAAGAAAAGGGACTAAAAATGATGAAACCAGTTCCACTTCCGGATTTTTTAAACCGATTTTCTACAGAAACTAAATGACTTTGAGCAGTTCTGACAGTTTCTAATGTTAAACAAAACAGTTTGTCTCAATCTTAGGAAGACCAAAACTGTTCATTCTGATATATAATAGTTGTCCAAAATTGTTCCTGTGATGGAATAATTTCCACAGCTTCGACATGTATTCTATCAAATCTACACCACGCAGTTACACAGGCCTTAGTTGAAGGATTTTATTAAACATTTTGTGACAAAAAAGAATCGACATACTGCTGTCTCCTACTTGTTCACAAAGCGTAGATTTGCATTGACTTCGAAGTAATTGCTTGAGTATCAACTATGCATTAGAGAAGATGCACACCACTCAAAGAAGATCGAAAGTAGACACACCCGGTATATTCAAGTTTCAAAAGCAACACCAAAATTTTTATAAGCATGATGCTCATCATGTTCATAACGTCATGTTCCCAACGATTATTGAGAAGAAGCAGCTGTTAATTTTAAAAAAATTTAAATCATAATAATCATAAAATATTTCATTGTAGATAGATAAAAAACATAAAAAACACGCCAACAATTTTATTGCTTAGGAGAGCCTACAGCTCCGTTCACAGGAGTTTATGACCGTACATTCATTTTGTAAGTTTTTGTTACTGGGTGAGAAATAAACTCTCTGTAGTCGATGTTTATTCATGTGACTACTTGGATCTTAATCTTTAACGGTTTTCGCCAAAAAGCTAGAGTGAGAAAAACTACAAGAAAAAAAACCAAAAAAAACTCATGGATCTTACTTACTTAATAGCAAATTTTTTTTCGTTATCCAGGATTTAGCAGTCTAAAAAATTTCGGTTGATTAAATTTACTTTGAGGTAAGAAGAATTTAGTTATGTTTTCAAAAAAAATCGGATGATAATTTAGGATAATGTTTAGCATTTTTCTTGGCCTAACAACAATTGAACCATTGAAAATTTTGCGTACTCTTTTTGGTACTCCTCTTGCCAAACTGCCCGTCTTAAAAATTTTGTTCATTTCATTATCCGTAATAAGATCATTAAAAATTTGAGATCTTTAGACAGTGTTTTCACTAAGTCATTTTTTCTGATGATAATAATCACTTACTCACTGTTTTCAAATTGCTCAGTGTTTTCAACAGGAGCAGGTGATCTACTGTGTCGAAGGCTTTTTTCGAAAAATTGATGTGCATTGTGTCAAATTTGCTTGATTTTGAAAATTGTGTCTTAATTTTTCAATCGGTCAAACAATTGCATCAACTGTTCCACGACATGAACAAAATTTAACTTTATTAAAAAACGTTATAAGGCGGTTGTACATATGTTTTTCCAGGAGCCTACCTATCACTGGTACTAGGGATATTGATCGAGAGGACCTGCCTGATCACTATCTTTATAGGTTGCAAAAAGTTTGGCCAACTAATGGAATTATCACAGCAATCTTGAAATCTTCAAGTTTTGTTGAAATTGATGTAATAGCCCATTTAAACTTTGTCAAAAGGTAGTTACTCAAACAAAAAAATCTGCGCTTTATTTTATTTTGATCAATTCTTATACTTTGAAAATTTCTCTCGAATAATTAATAGTAGATACTTCAATGTAAGTGATGTTCCAGAGTTGGTAACATAACCTTAAATATGCCGGCCAGTTTTTCGCCAACTGTCGAAAAGAGTGCAATAAAACGCTCGAAACTCATTTCAGATGTCTCAACCGAGATTTTAAATTTTTACTTTTCAATTTCATTTATCATTTTAGAAAAACAATTTTTTAATCTGCACTAATTGATCTTTCTAATTTTTAAAAGCAGTATTTTTTCATTTTGCTTTTAGTTAGCTTTTTCAAAAACCTACCTTGTTTTTCCATTTTTTTCTATCTTCAGATTTTTTATACATTTGTTTCAGACAGTTTTTCTTAGCAGCAGCAGTTTTAACATGGTTACTTATCCTGAGTTAATGTGTTTTAACTTTGGGTTGTTTTTGATATACTGGAACAAAACGATTAAGATTTGCAACAAAATTTATTGGCAGCTATTCAAAAATGCTTTAATAAACATAATTTTGATGTTTGATTATAAATAGCATTTTTAATTTGCTTATTAATTTTGCGAATTTTGAGGTTCATCTACTTTCTGGACCTTAGTGGTTCTCCGCAATTTTTCTGATTTCTGTAACTGTTCGTCAGATTAAGTGCATAAAAATCTGTAAAAGATATTTTTTAAATTTCTGTTTCCGTCGTGGCTGTTGTAGAAAAACATACACCAGACTTTGCTTGTTGGTTTCTCTTGTGGGTTTGTACGAGCTCAGCGAAAACAAACTGTTTCCCAAAAGAATTTCTGTCAACTCAACCAGTTTTTTTCGTATTTCCAGCTATATTAGTATTAAAACTACCACATAATATGTGCTTTTTTATGGTGTCAGCATTAGAGAGTCTAGGTGAATCTGTGATTGTTCTAGGTTTTGTTCGTTGATGAGGGTGGATTAAAAACTACCGTTAATACAGTACGAATTTTTTGTGTATTAAGGGCAATGGTTAAAAACCGAATGTTATTATCATCAACCTTGCCTATAACAGTGCACTTTTGGTCTTTCCCAATATATACCTTATAGTTTTTTTAAATATTTTTCTCTTTAAGGATTACAAAATTCTTCAAAGAAGTGTAAAAACTATGGTATGTTTCTGATACAAAGTAAAAATAATTTGCATTCCAAGGCATTAAATGTTACTTTTCCTCAGTGCAACTTTTTTCTTGTTACTTACATTTGAGCAATACTTGATTTGAAACCATCAAGTTCATGATTGCTGTTTTCTTTCACTCTAACCCACCTTTTGTGTTCGTAGCTTGTTCAATTTCTGGTACTAATAGTTTAAATTTTTTTTTTGCAATTCTTTGCTATCGTAAACCATTCGAAATTAGGCAACAATTAAATGAGAAAAAGCAGCCGTACAATTTCATGCTGTGAAGAAACTACAATGCTGATTTAAGCCAACCGGACAAAATGCGTTAAACTTGAAATTTAAAACGCGTTTTTCTGAAATTGGGTTGAGTATAGGTGAAAACTTATAAATACAAAACTTGCTTAAAATGTTAGCAGAATTAATACAGTGTAATTTGTTTTGCAAAATTCGGGCCCTAATTTTTACCCCAAAAATGGGTCATTTTGGTTTTTCTTAGTTATCAAAAGTTAACCCAAAAATACCGAGTGGATCACAGACATAATTATATCAAAGTGAGCCCCTTACGTAGCCCAAAAACTTTAAAAAGGGTGTATTCTCCAAATTATTGTATAAATTAATTTATTTTTGTTTGATAGACAAGAAAGGTTCAAGTTTAACGCGTTTTGTCCGGTTAATTTAAATCAGCATTGTAGTTTCTTCACAGCATGAAATTGTACGGCTGCTTTTTCTAATTTAATTGTTGCCTAATTTCGAATGGCTTACGATAGTCGTAAACCATTTGAAAATCATTGAAATTTAATCTTTCCGTCAATAAAATAAAATGTTGTTAATTTTTTTAAAGTCGAAAAGTTTAATTGAATGGTTGTTGTTGGGTCTTGCTCAACCATTTTCAGTTGTCGAATAAAAACCCGTAATACTGATCAACGATTTAAGACTCTCTAAGACTCAACTGAAAAAAAAAGTTCTTCTTTGTTAACCCTTCATTTACTTCCGTATACCAGTTTCATATAACCTAAATTGAGCGGTTAAAAGAGTAGTTGCCAACTTTGGTTGGTAGAAGCCCTGTAAATTCGTTCCGTACCTCCTTTGACCATGTGACCGCGATCAGCTAGCTGTGAATTTACCTGGTGGTTATCTCTATAAGTCAGTGCTTAGACAGCACGATTTCCGGGGGTCTGTAAGGTTGTGTTAGATCGTCTACAGAGGGAAATTTAAAAGTTTTTTTGATGTTTGGTTACTAGCCAGAAACAAGATAGACATAAAGCTAATTGAGAGTTAAAATGAGACAAATCTTTCTTGAGGTTGTTAGATTTCAAAGCGCTGACGTCGTTGATTTTGATTTATTGGTAACAGAAGTCCACCTGAAATTTCAAAAGAATTCAGGTGCACAATCATGAATACACTTCAATTTTAACGACGTTTCCGGGAGAAAATACCAAAATCAGCTGGCTTCAAAATTTTCACCTGGCTAAACATACAATTTGAAAGACCAAGCAACCTATTATAACTGGTTAGTGCGAGGAAATTAACTATTTAAACATGCCATCTGTTTTGAAAACATACTTTGATAGTTTGGGTTACGGGAAGAACTTTGATTAAATATAGCAAAGATTAACCACAAGCTTATCTAAGACAGGCTGATTTCTAGAAATACCAAGGTCACTTTCTACGACATGTTCAAGTCGCAATATTAACCTGAAACAATTTCTGGTAATAAGTTATGCTTTCTCATGGCCAAAATTCCAATTGACTCATTTCCAGCTCTTCTGTTTAGTTTCAGACAACTTAAGACGAGAATATAGGTGAAAACGTCTTCACATCAGGGGAGAAGATAAAAGGAAGCAAAAATCAAATGTCAAGGTTATTGCAATTCTTAACCTCCCTCCTGCGTTTTTGCCCATTAAATAACGGATCCTTAAATAACACATACAGAATGCACCTTCATTTGATTTCAAAAATTACCAGCGTTGGATAAAGTTTCGTTTGACTACTGCGCTAAAAATGTGTTATCGACGGGCTTCATTATTTAAATTGAAACAGGAAACTAGGCTTGGCTGTTTGCTTTGATAATTGAGAGAAAGGAAACCAGGCTTAGCTGTTTGTCTTGAAATTATTAATTTAGTTATACGTTTCCGGGTAAGGAAAAACTGTGCTATATTTCGTGTTTGTTTCAATTAATTCAACCTCCAGCATGTCGAGGGGAGGGGCAACCAATTCACTCTCAACTCTGGTTGCCTTAAATTTTCAAAAGCTGTCTCTTTTTTGCCCTATTTTATTTTCAGTGCAAAGGTGCGTTCAGCGCCAAGAAACGCTGACTTAAGGGAAAGCGCGCATAAAGCGCAATTTTTCATCTAAGATTTCGGAAATGTGCCTAGAATGCTAGTTTCATCCAAAAGCTGGGACAGAAAAGCATTGGTTTTTCTATAGGGTTAGCATTCGACTTAAGCTCGAATAGTCCAAACGGCTTGTCTAAATAAGTTCGACAAAACTTTGAAAAACAGCACCAAAAATCTTTAAAAGTGAAAAAGTGAAAACATCATTGATCAAAAAGTTGACAAAGTCAAAATGTAATCAAAAATGATTTTTCGAATTAGCAAAAGGGATTGCAGCAGTTTCATTTTTAATATTAGCATCGAAGTTTCAAGCACAGCCCAATACTTTTATACCTGAACTTTTATGACAATATGGGTTTTTATAAGTGGCAATTGGGCCACATTTGAATACAGAGTACGCGTATCAATGCCAGTTTTTTTAACCAAATGGTAACATAACGTAGGCAATGACCTCGTGGGGGTCAGAAACCACGTCGAATTGATCCCAGGTAATCTGAGTGGTGCGCACTGCATTTTAAGAGTAATTGAAAGAAAAAGACTTTTGTACGACATTAAGTCAAGCGATCGAAAAAAAACTCATTATATAGCATTATTTTCACTCATAAGTTGAGTTTGTCGCCAATGAATTGGGCTGCAGAACTGTTCTAGAAAAAAATGTTTATCTTAGTTTTCATCGAAGTGTGCAACAATACAAATATATCAACTACACCAAACACATGAAGAATCACAGAATAATACAAACACATGACCTACAGCACCACAACTACCAAGTTTAAATCGTAATCATCCACTATCACTAGTACCACGAAACTCCAGACACTTAGCACTAGTAAACATCGCAAACTCAAGACCAAATCAAATACAAAGTCCAATTCAACACATTGTAACACAACAACCTCAAAATGACGATACATATGAACAAATAATCGAACAACCACATACCACAAATTTTCAATCTCAGAACAATCATTTTTTTAGCCCACGATGAGCCGACAATTTGGATCCCTTCACCGTTCCATTTCCCATCCAGCCAACCTGCAAAACCCAATTCCCATCATCCCACTTTTTGCTTTCCCGCCACCTGAATCACCCCATGTTAACACATCATCCGGCATGGATTCTAATACTAATTCAGACATCACCGTTTTTAATACAATTTTTCAATTTAATAACTCAGACATCGAAACCCCAGACGAATTTTCAAACTTCGAACCCAGCCCATCAACATTTTCTCAACCCCCCTTTCGACCCATTCACTCCCAATCCACAAATGATTCCCCCTCTACCATTTTTCATGTTTCCCAAGCAACCACGACATACTCCCCCTTTACCAATGACCGTTCCAACAATAATTCCCCAGAAACCACGCAAATCTCACAAGAACTAAATAATCTTATAACACTACAACAACAAATACAACACCCTCACACCCTAACCATTCATTAATTATCATCAAATATAACATCATCAAATCCACCAACTCCTACACCCTATTCAGATTATACCCCTTCTTTAGCTCAATCCTCAACATCAACCCATTCATCATCCACTACTAATCGTGCATATAGAGCATTCAAAAGATAATTTCCTAATTATCCGTTTCCTTCCAAACCCGGAACAGCCCGCGATTATGTAAATCACCCTGACCACACTAATACTCCTCATTTTCTCCAAAATTCGCTACCCCTCTTCCCCCAATATACCATTAGTCATTCCAACCCTCACACTGAACAACCACACTATGTCGATGAGCATGTACTAATCCCCACACTTCACTGGACATCATTTTATTATTTCTCAAATCCACTTTGTATACCACTAAATAACACACCTCATGAAGTAGAAAGAAGTCAACTTGACCTTTTTAGACTAACCACAGCACTAACACCTAGACAATTTACGCATGTAGGATATAAAAAACTATTAAAAATTTTCACTGCACTCTGAGCTAATGATTATTCCATTAAATACTATGATCACAACATCATCAGACCTAATTAAGATCAATTTCGCGACGAAGATAAGTTCGCTAGGCCCACAACTAACCGAAATATTTTTCATCCAAACATCCTACAATTTTACTTTAAGCTCACTAGATAAAAAACACGACCACATCATTTTCGAAGCACAAATCGACATACAAACCTATGAATCATTTTACGATAAATTTCAAACTTTTTCATTAACCTTTCACTTCCTCAATCCAAAAGAACGAGATCTGCACTGTTCACACGATATCATGTTACAAACTAAGCAAACGCATACTTTTACATATTATAGATTCATTCAAAACCATTTTAATTTACGACATTCAAAACCTTCACGACATTCCTACTTTTCAGTTTATTAATTTAAAGTACACTTCACCATTTTTCTTAAATTTCACATACTGTTTCAAAAACACTAACTTCCAAGGAATCCTCAGAAATTACGACCCAATAACGCAAATATATATATTTTCCCCACTCACCAAGACCTTTAATGTAAAAGAATCCCGACCCCTCATTGTCCCGCATGAACATATTTAACCTATAGAAATCCCAATATTAGAATTCATTCAAAATACTACATATAATCACAAGCTTTTTAACCTCATCCAGCACACAAATCACGAGTTTTCTACTGGCACTGAAGAACTAAACACAATAAAAGCACTTGAATTGCTTTGGCCACTGCTTTGGCACCTAAAAACATCATTCGCATATTAGCAAAATTACTAACCACATCAGATTCAATACACGATATCTTCCCTCATGGCTTCTTCCCCGATAATTAGGTAAATATGAATTAAATAATTTAACACTAATAAATTCAAAACAATCTAACCATTTCTTATTATATGTTTTTTCATTAGTCTTTAGATCACCATCATCTACAAACAAGAAAACAGAAATAAAAAAATGCAAACTTTTTTTATACATAATAAACTTTTCAAATAGCAAACTCTTTTATAATTCATGAATTTTTATTAACCAACCGCAACAAATGACGCCGTAAAATTTCTTCTCCATAGCAGTAAATTCATCTATAAATTCTTTTCCCCAATGTAGTAAATCTAAATAAACTGAAATAAATTTAATAATTTCAATCCCCTCATAGCAGTTAATTTAAAATTTTCAGCAGTGAATTTACACAAATTTCAGCAGTACTAACCTTTTCAAGAATCATTCGCACATAAATTCTATCCACAATCGCACAGCTCGCCCACGAAAAATTGTTTAAAATAATGATTTCATGTTTTAACTTTCACTAATAATACCTCAAACTAATAATAACAAGTTTCAAACCCGGTCTGAAAGGAATAATATAATAATCCCAACTAACCAACGCAGCTTATTAAACACCATAAACCCCAAACTAACAGCATGACTAAGAAAAGAAAACCCAAAGTACCCAAACTGGATTAAACCAGCTTAAAGAACCGATAATTTATTCTTTTGAAGACTACTGATAAGTCTAAAAAAGAAAGCATAAAACATCAAAAAGTCGAAAGACAAACCCAAACCAAACAATTTGATTTTTAATAAAAGGACACAACCAAAACAACAAAAGGAAAAAACCAGAAACAAACACGACGCAAAAGGTTAACACAAAACAGGACCTCATAAAAAACCAGCATGAAATCATACCCTCACTCCTGGCTTAACCCATCAGAAGAGGACGACGTCCTGAGCATGCTTAATAGCCGGCCTAACCCACCGTGCTAGAACCCACGCTTTGTGACACACTCCTTATTTTTGATAAGAGGTACTCAAGTGTGAGTAACTCTTTTAAAATAACTGAACTAAAAATAATAGCTTTTGCGATAAAATCTAATAAAAAATCATAACCAAATAGAAGGACTAACTAAACATTTATTTATGTAAATTATATATTGCATTAATATAGATCATACACAATCAACGAAGACGAG